ACTTCCAGTTAAAGACACGACAGATTATTGTGTAAGAGTGCACAGTGGGGGTGTAAAGTGGAATAATTCGTTGTAATGTTCATTTCTCCAAGAATTCAAGCGAGAATAATGAGTCACTTGAAATCGCAAGGCTAATTCAACACGAAGGTCAATCTCTCGCTTACTTTCAATGAATGAATATTCCGCGCTTCGCGTACTATCTTTTTTTTTTCATCATTTGCAATTCCCCATTGCTTTCTTTTTTATTTACATTTTTTTTTCGTCGTTATTTATGGAGTTAAATGTAGGAGAGGATCCGCTCGTTTAATTTGAAAAAGTAATTGAAAAAAATGAACGGCTCGTATATCTTCGGGGGGTGGCGATGACAAGAGAAGAGATTGCAAGTCTACTATATACCCAGTCGATGGGGGCAACTTGAGCTGTTGTTCCTTTTCAACAGATTGAGTTCACTGAAAAATCACCTTAATATGCATTAGGGCCATATTTCATATTGAAGCTATTGGGGTTACTAATTGTGAAATATATCATTGGAATTATCCATCTGTTGTTACACGGAAGGTTGATATAAATCATCTGTGAAACCGCGAGATGATGTTTCATAATAACCCAGAAAGTAATTATAGGAAATTCGTTGGAAAATTTCGAAAATTTCTTGCTGAATTTGCATGGCGAATTAAAAAACTCAAATTTCTGGACTGTGATGTCACTGCAGGTGCAAAAAATTTCTAATGGTTAATTATCTCCGTCGATACTTCCGCAAAAATTATTATGAATACTGGAATCACTGGAATGGATGCAATTCTCACGTTATGGATGAATTTTTACGCGGAAAATGATAATTGTGATTGAGAGAAAAGGGTGTGAGAATGATGATAATTCTCCGTTTGTTTTATTTTATGTTGATCATTAAAATAATTCAGTATTAACCTCGGATAGTGGTGGCACGCTCCTTGCGTAATTGGGCACAACCCGCGTCCGATTTTACGTAAGACCGCGCGCGAATCTCCGCATTCCACGATCACTCGACGATTTTTTTTTGTTCAACAATTTTTTTTTCCTTTTCCTTTCCAATTTTTTTTCACTACTATTCCACGACTCTCGTCCTCCAGGCTGCGTTTTCACTTCTCACATTTATGAATAACATGTGATATTAATTGGCGGATTTGTCTGAGCTCGTGGGAAATGATATTTCCTAGACTTTTATTTATTTGAATTCTCAGCTATTCCAGTGTTTTTTATCACTTATTTTATGAGGTTGTAAATTCCCTATGGGTTATCTCCATTGGGCTTTCTAAATAATTTTTTTTTTTACTCTATTTTTGCCAAGTACTGTGCTCAACGTGTGAAAGCAACTCTTGTTATTCTATTTTATCTGTTTTTATTTTTCTGGGTAATCGTTTTATCCGCGAATTATCGGATAAAAATGTGAAAGTGATATCCGTGATTTTTGTTTTCTTTCGTGAATTTATTTATTTATTTTATTTCGAATTGTGCAATCCTGAATTTTTTGAAATACCGAACTGCATAAAAAAAAAATTACCATTGAACAAGTGGGAGGAATAATTCGACTTGTCTCCCATTCCAGTTTTCGAGGAATATCTTGAAATCTATAAAAGATTTGAAAATTTTCCATAAGACTTTTTTTGTAGGTTGCAATAATACCCAGCAAAAAGGTCTTTACAAATATTTCGCTATCTCTCTTAAATTCATAGATATTCTTTAAATATTTTTCTTTCTCCTATCGCGTGAAACGAAGATGTCGAATGATAAAGTACCCTGACTTCATGAACCCGAAATCATTAAACTTTTCCATTAAACTTGCATTTTTTTGTCTCACGCTGCGATTACGTGGAATTTCGTTGGTTCTGTTCTCGACGCTGAAGAGCATGATGTCAGTGGACGAGTATTTTTCAGTCTGAAACTCAGACACGAGAGATCCAAGATGTTTTTCTGAGAATTCTTGAGCGTTTGATACACAACGATATGACGGATTTAATAAACCCCCGAGGAAAAAAAAAACCCAACCCGAGAAAATAAAATTCAGAAAGACACAACACAAGATTGCAGATTTGCGGGGATTTGTTTGGGGCAATTTCGATGCAGTGAATTAGCCGAGACTTAAGTCGACTCTTGTGGTTGTGGTTGGTGGAGCGGCTTAACCTTGGCATACCGTTGCGCGCGACATAACGCAGATTCAGCATTTTCATGTTTTTTTTTTATCCTTCGTTCCACAGTCAAATATTCCTCCGATTTTATCTCAACACTCAGAGAAAAATGTCAGTAAAACGTTGGAATAATTTTTTCGTTCAAACCCCTTCGGTGGCGCCAATGAAACAATCGGTTATACGAAATCCGCCATTTCCAGGCCGTCGCGCGAACAAAATGGTGTCCCCAATTCTGAATTTCGGTAACGATCTATTTTTTTACTTTCTCGTTTATTGTGTAAATTTTTTCGTTTTTTCCTCTTGATTGATAATTGATGTTTTAATGAAATCGTCGTGAATATTCAATATAAAATGCAATTGAATTTTCCAAAGAATAAATTGAACGACCATTAAATGATGAACTTTAAAATTTTTTTCTCAACGTTTGATTGAATGGTTACATATCATCTCCAGATGGCTCATTCAACTAAGAATGTTCCATCTTTTTTTCATCGTTTCACTTTGCTTGAGACATTGAAGAATTGCTGTGCTGTCATCGAATCATCAGCTATCATTAATGTTTCGTTATGAAATCAGTCGGCATGAAAATGGTTTATAAGATCTTGCAAATCACATTGAAAGAGAAAAAGAGAGGGGAATGGAAAATGTTCGAATGAATCCGTTAGAAGGGAATTTTCGGGGAGAATTTAATGAGCCAGAAGGAATCTTCTCTGTTATTTTTTAGAAATTAGAAAATCTTGTGAAGAATTTCACGGGTCTGAAGAAGGTCTTCTGATTGTGGGTTATGAAACAAAAATCCAATAAAAGGCGACGCAGAACATTTAAATTCACTAATGATTTGGTCATAAAGTCCGATAGTTTCAACATCAACAGACCAGCAGTCGACCAATAAAATTCAGTAGATTGTCATTATCTAGAAGAATCCAGGATATCAGAAAAATTTACATTTTTTTCGAAAACTAGAAGTTCCCGGGATGTTATCAATATCATCTGTAAATTTCTGCGTTTATCGCGGAGTTGATCTTGTTCCTCAGAATTGTTACTCATTCATCACTTCATGTTGTTTGTCTCTTTGATAAACACAAATGCTCTGGGAAATCGTTCGAAACCTTATCTTCCCGGAATTTATCCCTCGCCATTTCTCTATAAACCAATTGCGCCATTGTAGCAAATAGTTAACTAAAACGCATAACGATTCTCAACAATCGACAGGTACATTAAAATTTCAGGAAATTTTGTCCATGAATATTCACGATCTAATGAGGAAATCCCTGAAATCCATAAATCTCAGTTTAATTATTCCATAAAAAGGAATAGAAATAAAAAAAGATTTATGATTCATTATATATTCTTGAATGCCCAATTAAAAAAAAATTCACCCTCATCTGGTGATGAATATTCATAAGTCGATTGAAAATTCAAGTTAGGAAATTTTTGAATTCCCGCTGCTTAAAGTTGCTCATAAAATTTCATGTTTCCAGGATTATAAAAAATTTTCTAATTTTCCCTGCTGTACATGAAATTAATTTCTGTCGAAAGAATAATTGATCGCAATAGTCCCGACATGAAGAGACATGAAGAAACTTTTCATCATACTCTTGGGGAATTTATGTTCTAATTGAAAAATTCACCTGCTAGGCCTTTGAGGCTGACTCAAAGTCTTTGTTCCCTTGAATCCACTATTTACTCATTACATACAATATTCGTGCATACACTCATGAAGTCCATTGCACATGCGGCGCGTTATCATTGGCAAAGTGTAAATCGTAGTTACACATTGAAGGATGTAAATACCTCTTGAATCCATATGTATACATTAATGTGTGCCAAAGGGGGATATCTTATATTCGTAGGCATATTTTTACCTTTAAACCACTGCGGAAACGAAGGTTTCCCATCCGACAACCTCGCATTCCATTCTCCCGCTATCAGCAAATAATAACGCCCGATGCGCGCCGATGGCTTATCACCACCGAACAGCACTCTACACTAAAACAAAAAAAAAATATAATACTTTTCGCCAGTACAAGGTACTGAGTGCCAGTCATCGAAACATTTCGCTATGAGAATTTTTCCACTTGTCTCCACTCCAACTTCCTGAGCACTCGGGACATGTTACGATTTTACTTGTGAAAAGGAGCAAAATTACTCGCACACGTTTGGTACTTGCTCGAAGTGCTATTTGGTAATTGCGACAAGTACTTTTTCAGGTGTATAGTAAAGGATACATCTATCCTTCATCGCGAAAACGTGCAGGAGCTGCACGGCTTCTTCTATTTGTTGGATTCATTTATTCCTTTTTTTCTTTATTCGTTTTTTTTCTTGGGGGAATAATTCTTGTGTGTGCACTCGGGCGTGTGTAGGTGGAATAGAAACGGATGAACGAGTCGTACATAACGTCTGTATGCGTGAAAGAAACAACGTTTCGTTCACGCTCGACAGATAGGATTGGAATTATAAATAGATTGACGATTGTAGTTGAGTGCATCCAAAGGCTAAAGAGCATTCTTCAAATATTTCTCGGGTTTTATTTCTTATTTTTTTGGTTGAAACTTCTGGAGAGGGAAGAGGTAAAATTTCAGGTTTTCAAGTCCACTACCAATAATACTTAATATTTCGAGTGAAGATCCCTCGATTTCTTAATTAAAAAATGATATTACGAATTAATGGCGATTTTACGAGTTTCCAAAATTCCCAAATTCCCTGCAACATTCGTTGTAACAATTTTTTTTTTCTGTGAAAATGAATTCATTGAAATTTCCCTGAATTCGGATGATGCAATATGTTGATGGAAGATTTTTAATTAAAAAATGCGTCAATTTATTTTTATTGCAGATTCACGAAGCCTCAGACGTTCGCGGACTGCATTGGAAATGAGCTGCCCCTTGGCTGGGAGGAGGCATACGACAAACACGTGGGCGCTTACTACATCAATCATGTCAGCCGTAAGTCTCTACTATTCCGTATCAACACCAATCCTGTCACTTTTCTATCGATCACACTCTAATGTCACAATACTATATTCCTAACTGTCATGCGGAAAAAATAGAAAATTCAATATCCCATATTCACGACTTGTCTGAAGTCCACTTTATCGTGAAATCAGAGTGCACCATAATACGGACATATTTCCTCTAAATTGATGTACAGCAATTACTATTTGGGTTCTTTGAATTTTCGATGATTTCGTGTGAGTATTTTTGAACTCACCTGACCGATGACCTCGGGGATAAATCCATGAGGAATTCCTTGGTTGTCCCACTTGATTTTGACGCGTGTTCGGTACCTTCACCTCTCCCTCCACCCGAGAAAGATCGCTTTCTCATTTGATTGACTTGGGGATTGAAGAGGGTCGGAATCTGGTGTTAAATTTCATTTTGAGATAATTTTTTTTATCCCTGATGTATTAACTTGGGGTTTTATTAAATTTTTTTTTTTTTTTTCGATGCAGAAACGACCCAACTTGAGGACCCCAGGCAGGAGTGGAGGGCTATACAAGAAGCCATGCTCAGGGAGTATCTGCAAACCGCACAGGACGTACTCGAGGTGAGTTTTTTTCAATATTTACTACTCATTTTGTATACTCGTCAGATTCGTCGTTAACTCGTTCGTTCGTTTTGTTGGATTGACGGTGTTTTGTATTCTTACACCACGACGTAAATGTAATTACACTGGGACGAGTGGTTTCTTGCGATACGTTTCATCGATTCAACTCGACAAGTCGCTAATTCATTATAGATATCTTTGAATTTATGGTCAGAGTGTTTGCAAAGAAGTTTTTCATTAAGCAAAACAGCGAAGAGAATTCTAAAAGTTATTTTAATTACATATTCATCTCATTTCTATTAATTTTTTTAATGAAAAGAGAGGAATTCATCTCATCATCTGGTTTTTCATTTTAATGGCAAAAATGTCGTCTCTTCCGACTGCTGAATAATGAATAATTTCACGGAAATAAAAAAGCGTCAGGTGATTGGTGAATTTTAAGGCGTCAGATATACTCTGTACAGCGACATAAATATCACGCTGGGCCCGACGATGCGGGTCATATTTAACGGGGCCTTCCTCCAGTTTATTTCTCTCTTGGACTGGGGCCACTCACAAACTTGAGTTTAACATTTAACTTCCTGTCCGAGAATCGAAATTGTTGGGGACATTCTCGAGAGAGAACAACGCGGATTAGTGGGCGTTGACCAATCAGAGATCTGACTCATGTGAGCATGAACATTGGACAATGGAATATGTCACATTGTTCCTGAACCATTATTGAGATTAATACGATCAACAGAATGAAGGAATTAATCAGTGTTCATAATAATCGTCGGTCATTATTTCAAGAACGTTTAGCGCTTGAAAATATCCGATAAATTGAGAACATCAACTTTTCTCCTTTTAAATGATCAATTAAATTCACATTTTCTCCAAGTATTCATTTTTGAAAAATTAATTTTGAAAAATTAATTTTGAAAAATTAATT